GAGAAGCACAAATCCTACTGACTAGTAGTTCCATAGTTCACAGATAGATGGGAGAAGGTTCAGCATGACTGAGAAAGGAGTTGAAGAAAACTTCCAGGTGAACAAGATATTGTGTGGAAGTGAGGAAAGATTTGGAGGTGTTGACAAGCTACGCATAATGGGCAGTTTCACAAAGAAGAGGGGATATATGATGGGAAGATTGTTCTCAGGATTAGGACAAAACTGGAATATACAATCCCAATTAATGAAGCAAGGGAAACATCGTGAAGCTACTGCAATGGAGATATGAAGAAACACATCTGAAACATCATCCTTGATCATCTACAGAAAAGGCTCAATAGAGGGAGGAAAGGTTAATCACTGGATGCCAGTCTGCAGTCTTTTTGGGGACAATGAACAGACAAGAGTAAAACCCTGGAGAAGGTATATTTGTCCGATAAATCCAACACCACCTCCTTGAGACATTTTAGGTAGATGCGATCTGATGGAGAAGGAAAGGAAATGGGATGAACACTGAGAAGGGGAGGGGAAAGGAAGTGGAGAGAAAGTTTATGGTTAAGAAGTAGAGTACCCCATCTGTCTGCAGAAAAGATTGCTCACAGGTGTGAAAACCATGACACACAGGCCCCAACTGGGACTGACCAAACTTGACTGTCACCAACAAGCTTGACAAGTATGACACCAGGTAGAAGTCAGATGGGTAGAAGAGGAAGGTCGGGAAGTGGGAATGGAAAACGGGAAACCAAGGGGCTAAGACAAGGAGTAGAGATGGAGGGCTGGATTTGAGATAGTCTGGAAATGAGGACAAGAATGATGATTGATGACAGGCATCCTTTGCCTATGATTCAATAGAATCAAGATTGTTTCAAAAACTACAGGGCAAAGAAAGAGGGCTAGGTGAAGAGCACATATAAATTATGAAGGAAGTCGAACTTGAGAGAGAAGAGTATTCATAGTCAACAAGTCCCAGCAACAAATGAGCAAAGTGAGCAAGGAGAGAGCAGAAGAACTGGAATGGGCCATGGTGGTAAAGAGAAGAGAATAAGAAACAGCCAAAAATTCTGGGGCACAGTTGAGTGCCTCAGACAAGAGGCATAGAGAGGAGAGGTAACAAAGTATGATAAGAAGAATGAGGCAAAGACAGGAGTATTGGGCAGTGGATAGCAAAACTGACATCAATGAATCTGCCCCAAACAGGCAAAAAAAAAAATATATTCCAAATTTTGGGAATCGAGAAAGGGGATTTCAGAATTACTATAGGCCATGATGTAAAAATCTGGTAGATGAGGAGGGTGAGTAATGAAGTTATTGGAACATAGTTGGTAAAAATATGAAACAGTGTGAATGCCAATATCAAGAGGAGGGAAAATGAAAAAGTTGTCAGGGTTTTTAAGAAGGGAATAAGAAGAGTCATGTAATGCAGTGAAAGAAAAAAGAATAGTACACTCCTATGATATTTAGTCCTGATAATGCAAGAAAATGGGAAAGGAGTTCCTAAAGCATAAACAGGAGGAGGAAACAAGCAATCAAATTCATCCTCTTCATTCTCACCCTCAAAACGAGGGATAAAAACACCTGAAGAATGGACGGGAGCAGAAGGTCCTGGCTGTATAAGGGAACTACTACCTTATGCACAATGGCTGTCACATTATCCTCAGTCAGCATGCTCCCAGAAGCCATAGTTGATACATGGCCTGTGTGAGGGAATTCTTCACTCACACGAGTAGTAGATGTTACATGAACTTACGAATTCATAGTTTACAGAAATTAAGAAAGATATTAAGTTCCTTAAACATCATAAGTCTTGTTAAATTGCAAAACTGAAGAAGAAAAACATGTCTGATGTCTGTTCAGTGCCAAGGAAAAGAATAAAGATTCACAAATGCAAATGAATAGAGGGAGTTAGTGTACTAGGAGGTATGTCAACTCCTATTGGTGAAGAGCTTTTGCTATATAATGATACCATTATGTCTATTAGCCGAATTCACAAGAAATCTCGTTAGATTAAGTGGGAGTTCACTAAAGACTAGTGGCATACAAATCTCTAAGATAGATGCACAGGAAAGATAGCTTAACTGCGTAGCAGAGGTATGGTATTGTCTCTGGAAAGTTTTTTTTTTACGTATTAACACCAGGCTAGTAGGCATTAGAAATGTACTAGCCTGAACTGAAATTCCATTAGCCCAACATTTTTTTGTATTTCAGTATAATACCTAAATTATTACACATTGCAAATATATAAGCATCTATATTCATTGCAATGACTTCTACCACACTACCGTAAAACTAAAATAATACATTTGCACCCCAGCATATATGATGCAGACATAAAATATATGGGCATATTACCAGTCCATCATCACACTAACTCACATTTTTAATAGTATTTTACAGGCTGTGAGTTTATTGTTCAATGAAGGTTTCAAATTATTAATATACAATGTCTCATTACTTCTGTCACCGAAGATGGACGGAGGTTATTTTCACTCCTGTGTGTGTTTGCCAGCAAGATTTCTTGAAAAGGGCTGAATAGATTTGACAAAAGTTTGTATAAATTTGGTCTATGACCCAACTTAGATGTGATTAGTTTTTTGGAGAGCCAAGGTCAAAAATCAATATCACAGTAAGATCACAAAAATCCCAACCTGTTAACACAGGAACTGATTTTTCACACTATTTTTGCTCTATAACTCAGTCAAAAATAATTGAATTTTGATGAAACTTGGTGGACATATGTAGAATACTATTTGTCATTGTCTTGGAAAAAATGGTCCATGTCCATTGATCATGATGGATATATGGGCACATTTTCATATTTTTTGAGAGCCAAATATGATCAACGCTACTGAGTGCCCCTCTAGTTCACTCTGAGGTCCTCTTTAATATTTGCACTGCATAAAATTTCAAAATTCTCCTCAAGTGCATTTTCTTCACAATCCTGATAAATATGTTTATAAATTCTTGAGTTGTTATTCAAGGTTGGCTATACATTGTTCCAGGTCGCAAATAGTTGAACCAATATAATCTCGCCCACAGCAAGAACAAACAAAAATGGTAAACAACATAAGAATGTTGCAATTTACCAACCATATCTTTGAATTAAAACAAAATTTTCTATCCTAAGTGTCGATTAAAAAACACTCAAATAGAAATTTGTGGAAACTTCTTAATGTTTTTCCTTAACATACACACAAAACTAACATGTACAACTTTTCTGGGCATAACAAAGCTCCCTTTGGAGGAGTGTTAACTCCACTTAAAAACGTTTGTGATTTTTTTCAATTCTTGTTGAAAATAATCAAATTTATTTAAACTGTGATCAGTTCTGTTCACTAGGATAATAATTAAGTTTATTTTTTAGCTATTAGATGTAAAGTTAGTTATACAAATATATAATCCTGGATATGTAAGTTTATGATAAATGCCTACATACAGAGATTTGGCATTATTTTTAATTTCTAAATCTAGAAATGGTATTCTTGAATTATTTTCTTCCTCAACAGTAAATTTTATGCTGGGGTGCTGGTTATTTCTAAAAATAACAAATGTATCATCCACATATCAATTACACTTAATTAGTTTAAAGATCTTAGGGCACTTATTCAGCCATTGTCATTTTTTTTCATAATAAACCAAAAAAAGATAGTAAATCTTCTTATCCATTAAATGTTCATTATGTAGTACAGTTGACTATCCATAACCAGTCGTGTGACAATGCATACACAACTTTTCCACTGTGGACCTAGATACATCAAAATGGCATGCCATTTATATCTGTGTTTGTCCTGTTTCCATCATTTTAACACCTTTGACAATCTGTACTTCCATAAAAAGCTAATGCTCAGTATTATACAGAAATAATAACCAAATGTAGAAAATTAACAAAAATAGAAAATGATCCAATCTGAAGACAAAATGGAAGTATAAATTTTCCAAAACAGGTAACATTAGCACAAAAATGGGCTGTACTAGCTGTGTATTCTCACACCAAAACACATGATTTGTGCACATACCTAATGACATACTGATTTTTTTATTCACATGCAATTTCCCAAACTGTAGGAAATGTTTACACTTTTTATTATGTGCTGTAATATACAGCGCTTTTATCTTGTGCTGTCATTCCTAAATGCCAATTACAATGCAATCTTTTAAGCATGCACTTTGTACTTGTCATATATGTTGGATTTTTCATTGAATATAATCATTCTGGTTGATGAAACCATGGATCTATTTTTCCATCATGAATTACTAATATTAAGGCAGTCTATCCTTTACCAAAATCAACGTATGATACTTTTTATCATAACTCACAGAATGTGTTCAACTGAGTTCAATTTTTTCATAATGCAAAATGATAAAATGTTGCATATGCCAAACCTAAAGATATTTACTTGCAATGTAGATTTATTTTCTGTCTCACTTGCCTGTAAGAATATAACAAGAATTTTGATAAAAGATGTTACAGAAACAAGAACTTTAAAAGTCTTGCATTCTAGTTATATACAAGTGAGCTTGAGCATGTACATCTTGAGTGTAAAAAATTTCTTCTTGTGTATTGCACTGAGGATACTGAAATTTGAAAATCACAACTCTTGAATCAAACAAAATCTTTTCCTACACAACGAATCCAATAAAAGATGCCAAATAAAAACTATTTGCAAGTATAATTAAAAAAAAAATTTCATTAACAAGTTCTCATTTCTATTACTCAATGGATACACAAGATTTAGTATGAGTTTGTTATGATATGGCACAAACCAACAAATTTGTCTTATCTATGGATAGTCACAAAACTCCAGCATTTTATGAACAAGCACTAGCATTATATCAACTATTTTTATATTAAGAAACTTTGGTTAGATGGATAAAGCTTGCTACATGATACTACTATTACATCCGCATAGCCAAAATGGTCAAAAGGACAATTTCAACTGATCATCAGTTTCTAAAAAGTTAGTTAAATGTCTAGTTACCCTTAATAAGTAGTAAAAACATACTTTATTTTCAAACTTCAGTGATTGCATGTGGTTCATATATCGGTTACAGTAGAAGAGGTATCTTTGCAGTGCTGCTCTTGATCTCTCCTGAGCATCTCTTGCAGCTTTGGCCTCTTTTTCATCATAACGATTACAGTTGTACCTGAAAGACATGGGGATAACCAGGATTAACATCTTGACTCATCATAATTTACTTTAATACTTGACAGTTACTAGCAACAATAACATCTGCTAGAAAGTTACAGTACATAACCAGTTTAATACACAAAATAACAAGATAAAAGTAATTAGAACATAATTTCTTTGTATTTATAAAATTTAATGATTATGAACTGATGACTATTACATTTATGGTTACCTATGTTATAATATTTTTCTTATGGAAAAGCTTCAGAAGCTGCATTTCATATTGGCTAACATAGTCTGAAATTTCATTAATGAAGTATCAAAATAATTTAATAAAACGAATTTTATTTATATATTAAAGAACCATGATTACCCTTTCCTTTCTGATGAGTCTGATGACAACAGCATAAGCTTCAAAAACAATTCTCACAAACTCACTGAAAGATCAACCAATTCACCCTTGGCATATTCTCATAAACTGTGTTTTGCATCTCTGACAGGCTTATAAATATAAAATCACACCCATTTATTTACAAAATTCAAATTGTTATGTAAGTTTGTCTACAAGTTTGAACAGGTCTATTTCTAGATATCAAAACACTATTTAAAGTTTAAGTTTCATAAACACAGTAAAAAGATTAATAACTTATGTGTATCATGGTCAAATTCATACCACCTGAACATAGCTACAGACAACAACAATATATATATACTTTACTAACACAGGTATTTGTGCCACACATAAGCTAAATGGCCAGGGGAGAGACCCACAAGGCTCAGGCACAGTCATCCCTAATATAGAACTACTGACCAGAGGGAGGGCAGTCAGTCAGCAACACCTGTCACCTATATGAGTATTCTTATCTGAATAATGGAGTTAAGTCACACATCTGTGATGCCTGCACTGCTAAAAGTATGAAGTATGTTCTGCTGTACAGTACAATTTGGACCTTGAATCTTCTGATTCACATAATGAAGCATTAACTACTTGGCAACACCAAGTCCACATATGAATCATCATTAGAATTGAAATAAATATTATGAAATATTTAAGTAACAACATAATGAAAACTGTTTTTGGTGGTAAAAATTATGATGCTAATTGTAATTTGCAAATTTAAATATAATTATCTGCTAAAAGGACTTTTACGTACCCAAATGAAATAGAGATACTAATGATTTTGCTCTAAAGAGTCATGAATGTGGCATTAAAAAACTGTGTTATAGTTCCCTACTTATATATTATACTCAGAGAACAATGAAGAACGGACCACTGAATATGTTCTACTTGTATAAAAATCAGTGAAAGTTAACATTTTCCTAAATTGAAAATATATTTCCAATGATACCTCTGCTGACACTTATAGCTATTACTTGACCTTTGCCCATCTAAGCATTGGTCTGATTTTTTCTTGCTTGCTCCAGTCTTTTAAACCCCACTCAATTGCCCTTGACGATAATTGTCTTGTGATACTCTCCACCTACGTCAAACGTCCTTGATCCTGGTGCTTTATATAATGATAATGTTATCACTTTTTCTAGACTGACACCATCCCAAAATGTTAACTTCCAAAACATACTTACCATCTGCTGACACTTATAGCTAGAATCCCACATTGAGAAGGTGGAGGGGCCAGTGGGGGCAGTATCCATACAGAAAGCTTCTGCATAGATCAGGGGTGTACCAAGATAAGAGCAGTATCCAAGTAGGGGAACTGCACTACACCCTGAACTTAGTTCCTCTATCAAGGATGGAATTGTACATGATCGATCATCACTAATAGGCCAGCCCCAACCAGATAGCCAAGGTTCCACAACTTGGGGTTGGAATTAAGAGATCAATTGGACCACAATGTTATATATAGATATACTTTTGATTGGATCCCAACCTGTATCCATGGTGATGCATTCCAAACCACCGAAATTACGATGAGAAAGTAAGCACCACTCAGGCTCGGAATAATGGGATTGTGTATGCCTTACTTAACCAAAGGAACAGAACTCATCCAGTCTGGAATTATGAACATTCATCTTCACTCCCCAACCGAGTGAGCAAGGAGCATTCCACTTGCCCCCGGAATTATGGAGAGGATGTGGAACACTGTTTTCAACCAAGAACCCAGGATAGGACCACTCTTGAGTTCAGAATTATGAGTAGATAGTGGACCTCCTTCCAAGAACAATATACTAAACCAATATTGATCAAAAAGAAAGGCCATGCACACCCCAACTGGATATCAAATATCACTTTATAACTTAGCATCAAATCTGAGCTGGTATTACAAGTAGGCTCCTGCAGAGGCTAGTGCCATTCCTACTGACATCTGGGAAAAACATCCAGGGACCCTGTAGGAGGGCCCCTAACTTTGCCCTCTTCTTTAATAGTGGAGGAAAACACTCAAACACTCTGGAGGAAAAGTCTCTGTCCACCACCCCAGTGACTGGAAACTGGGTGTGGTAAGGGCTCCCTAGCTCCACTAGTATAATCTGAGGGGGGAAATGCATGATGGTGGGAAGCTCTGAAGAACAGTGCTCTGGAAGCAATGCAATACGTGAACCAAGTTCCCTAAACTTTTAAAAGCAAACCGACCCCAATTTATTCAAACCGATGATCGGTAGGGATGGGCAGGATACCTTTTACCTTTACTCATGATAGTCCATAAGTGGCAGTCCAGCATAATATGGTAATACCATCTGGTGAGCTTCTAGATGGTCTCAGAAGAAGAAGAAACTGCCAGATCATGTAGAGAGCATGAAAGAAAGGTATTGGGATAGAGCCACATACCAGCTCGTACGATGTCCTCCAGCAGGTAATTCAAACAGGCAGCAAAAGACATAGAAATGTGACAAATCTGATGAGATGTGACTCTCAGAAGTTTCCTTGCCTGTAAAGGAAGTCCAGAATAAGCAATATGGATATTTGCAAAGCCATCTAATCAAATTAATTAGGGATAAATCTCAGGAAACCAAAGGATCCTAATGAATAAAGAGTCGAGTTACATCACCTTGAAAGGAGTTAGTGCAAGCCATATAATGCCTTAGGGCTCTGACAGGACATAACAAATTATCAGTGCCCGATCGGTCATGGAGGTGAGAAATAGCTGGCAAAACAATTGGTGAGAAGGATTTATCCCCTACCCTGGCTGCCAGAGGCTTAGAAAGAAAGGGCCTATCAGAAACAAAGTGGAGTGCAAACAACTTCGATTTACGACATCCACATGCCATCAGCATCAAAAAATACCCTTTAACCCCTTACCTACCAGGGCCATTTTGTCTTATCGTGAGGGCAAAATCACATTTATGAATTGAAACAAATTATAGAGAACATCTTTTATTGGATTTCAGATTTTATTTTTGTAAATAGTAGGAGAAAATTCATTCATTTGTACTAAATTGTATTATTTAATGAAGTTTGAAGAGAAGTATAACAATAAAAATTCAAAATACATTTAAGACTATAAAGCGCCTCAACATTTTTAAAAATATTTTACTTGCACTTTAAACACTGGTTCTGCCATCTATGATTGGTATCTAAACCTTTTTCTAGTCTGTTTTCTTTATAAAACAGTGTCTGGGTGTGTTAAATCTAGTTGAAGATGTCAATTTCAGTACCATGTTATTCCAATTGCTATATTTCACATTTGACAAATCATAGCATGATAAGCAAAGCACGTGACAAAATGTTGTTCTCTAGATTTTACAATATGAACATGGATGGTGCTTATTAAAGTAACTGCCATTTTATGTAGAGATTGTATTTAGTAGTGGTCAATAGTATTTTTTTTTTTACAAGCCTTAGAAAATTTCCTTCTGTAAAAAACTGCATGGGATGTATGCGACTTTTATTATTTTACTATAGTAGCTTAACTGATGCTATATTGTATATCGATTTATATTAATCATTATATTGAAAAAATAACTCAAAAGAGATAATACTTTTGGGAAGTTGATCCACGAATGTTAGGGTTAAGATCTATTGAGTGGCAAGTGCATGGTCTTTACATGAATTAGGCTTAGCACTTTGAACTGAAAGAGTTTGTGATTTTTATATTCTTTGCATTTAAATTAGTAGTTTTAAGTTCAATAATTTGGCATAATTTTATATTTAGTTCATAATAAAAATATGATTTAGTATTTAGAATGATAACCGTGTATGATTTGTACGTACCACTAGTACTAAGTAAGAATTATATATTTTTCCTTCTTACTATCTTTACTTTGTAGTAAGACCCACACTTCTGTTGTTGTTGTTGCTTTATAATTATAACAGTAACTGATATATAAAAAGCTTATTCTGTTATTTTGCTAAGGGTTTAAAATTCATTGTACAAGTGACAACAATAAAACCCATATGTTGGTTGTGAAACAGACTAAACACATTCATCTCAATAATACAGGGGAAGCTGTGACATTTGCACAGTTGGGGTGTCAATACACTGAAGAGCTTAAGTTTCAAATTCCGATATAAATCTTGCGTATAATGAAAGGAATTTGACTAGGACGAATATTTTAAGTGCTGTAAGGTGATTTTCTTTGTAATTTATTGTGTCTATATCATTTGGTTAATCTCTTGTAACAGGATGTATCAAGTAACTAGGGTCAGGCAGTGTTATTCAAACCACCTATACTGTAAGCTATTACATACATTCACTAGTACTGGCAATTACAGTTTTGTTTGTGTAGTGAAACAACATACAAGGACATACGTTGAAATAAACTTGTTTGAAAGTTCAAAGCAATGATATTCAAGTACCAAAAATCCTTCTTAGTATCATATCTACAGTAATGTTCAAATGCAACTGTGCTGGACTGAAAAAGAGTGACCCCCAACAGGCGTGATAGTTTACAGCAAATGTATGAAGTTCATGCTGTTAATCTCAGATTTTTTTTGGCACAATAAACAAAAGTACAGCTGCAATGAAACATAAACTTAAAATACATCCATGAAACAAAATTAAAATGTTTTGTTATATACATATATAAACATGAAATCCTAGTTAAAAATAAAAAATACTGTATATTCTTTAGGTTTGCTTAGAAATATTACTTTTGGTCTTGTATATTACTTGAAACCATAAGGAGAGTACGCGAT